TACTGCCGGGCCGGACAGAGGGCGACGCGGGTGCTCGGGGTGGAGGGACCCCGGCGCCGCTGCCCGCTGGGAGCTGGCCGGGCTGGTTAGTCCCACGCTAGTTGGCTGCCTGCGTTGGTGGTGACCGGCCCAGAGCGCCAGCCGCTGCCAGGCCCGGCCCGCTGCCCGCTTTGCACAGAATTTTAATTGTTTCCAAATTAATCCTGGGGCTCGAGTAGACTCTGCAGAAAAGCCGTCACGGGAGGGGAGTGGTCCTGTCCCTCCGGCCGGCCGCCGGGCTGGAGACCCAGCCTGGACGGTCGCCATCGGCACAAGGGCCAGGCCCACTGCCCTCTGCGCTGACCCGCGGCCGGCGGTCCTGTTTGCTCCCAGCGCGCCATCCCTCATCCTGTTTTCACCAGTTTGTTTTTATTTTTTCAGATAATATAATAGTTTATTTTTACATCATTCTGTGCCTTTTCCCACCTCAGTTGTCCTCCCTGTGGGCTTCCTGTCAGTCACCACATCACCCTGTGCCGCCACCACAGTCCCGTGCACTTCCCTCCCCCCACTGTTTTTGACCCCCTTCCCCACTCTGCCCCCACAAAATGTCTCTGGTATATAGTTGTTCGTCATTATTATTATTATTGTTATATAATTATTATTATTATTTTCTCGCCTGGTCCGTTATACTCCTGCTATGAGTGAAACCACCCAGTATTTTTCCTTTTCTTTCTGGCTTACCTCACTCAGCATGATCTTTTCCAGCTCCATCCCTGTTGCTGCGAAAGACATGTTTGTTTGTTTGTTTGTTTTTTGGTTGCTGAGTAATATTCCATTGTATATCTTTTTAATCCAGTCACCTACTTTTGAGCATCTGGGCTGCTTCCATGTTTTTCCAATTGTAAATAAAGCAGCAATAAACATGGGGGAGCAGGTATCTTTTTCAGTCCATGTTTTTATCCCTAGGAGTGGGATGGCTGGGTCGTAGGGAAGCTCCATGTGTAGCAGTTTGAGGAACCTCCAAACAGTTTTCCATAGTGGTTGTACCAGTTTGCATTCCCACCAGCTGTGCAGGAGAGTTCCTTTTTCTCCACATCCTCGCCAACATGTGTTGTTGCTGGTTGTTTGAAGATGTGCCGTTCTCACTGGGTGAGGTGGTATCTCACTGTGGTTTGAATTTGCATCTCCCTTATGATGAGTGATGTTGAACATTTTTTCATATGCCTGTTGGCCGCCTGCATTTCCTCCTTGGAGAAGTGTCTTTTTAGCTCTTCTGCCCATTTTCTGATGGGGTTGTTTACTTTTGTTGAGTTTCATCAGTTCTTGTATATCTTTGTGATCAATCCTTTATTGCCAGCTTTGTGTCCACTATAGGTTCTTTTTTTTTTAAAGATTTATTTATTTGTGCATACAGAACTGGGGTACAGGCCAGAGGTGCGGGTGGGGGTGAGAGGATGCCCCAGAGACAGAGCGGGGAGCAGAACAGGCTGGTCAGTGAGGTACGCTGCTGAGGGGGCAGCGGGGAGACACGGGGGTCTGCTGCGCCTGGGGTCACTCCCTGGCGGGGATCCAACTTACACTGTGTTGTCTGAGACTGTGGAGAGCTTCACAGTGGCACCCCCGGGGGGCCCGGTTTCTGCAGAGCTCAATGCCATGCCCTGACCCACCTAATCACACTGTGAGCAGCTGGACTGGGGGGAGTCGGGCGCCCTCTGCCAGGACCTGGCTGCCAGGCGGGGACAGCAGAGTCACCATGGCCAGGGAGAAAAAGGAGATGAGGGCTTTGCGCCCCACAGCATCGGGGTGCAGGGAGGGGCTCCCGGCTCGCAGAAAGCGTGGCGCCGACCGGACAGGGCGGGCAGGCTGAGCCGGCTTCTCCGAGGGCGCAGGCGGCCAAGGGGGAGACGCAAAGCCGGCTGCGGGCTCCATGGGGCAGAGGGGAGGCGCCTGGGGAGGGGGCGCAGCGGGTGTGCAAGATGGCAGCCCGCTTGGGGACCCTGGGTGGCTCCCTCCACGCACGGCTGGCCGCTCGTGCTCCTGCCCGCCCCCGCTGTGGCCACACGCCCTCGCCACAGGGAGGCCAGGTGCGTTCTTCTGCAGGGGGTGGCTGCCGCCGAGGGCGAGGCTGGCACAGCCCGGGGGCCCTGCGGGGCTCAGGCTGCCCTGGGTGAGTCCTGGCCCCTGGGAATGGCCCCCGGAGGCCGGAGTGGGCAGTGGCGGCTGCGGCAGGCGCGAGGGGGTGCCTGGCCACGCCTGTCCTGCAGACTGTCCAGGTGAGGGGCGAGACTGAGGAGAGGCCCCGGCCCACACAGCTGCCTGGGGCCAGCAGCAGTAGGACCACTCTAACTGCCTTCAGATTTGGTGCCCTGTCCATGGTGCTGGACAGCTGCCCTGGGCTTGGCTCTGCCCTCTTGGCCCCCAGAGGGCCTGACCAGCAGCTTCTGTGGCAGCCGGCACAGCCCAGGCTCAAGGCCGGCCGTCCCAGGGGCCTCTGGGTGGGCAGGGCGGAGCTGGGCCACGCCCCGGTCCCTGGCCAGGCGGCCGCCTGCACCTCTAACAGGATCCGGCTGGCGCACCGGCCCCCAGGCGCCGTGGGCTCTCTCTGGCACCCCTGGCGCCCGGCCGCCTGGACAGCTGTGAAGGTCCGTGGCTGGTGGGGGTCGCAGGAGAGACCCACCGTCCAGGCCCCAGCAGCCCCTTCACGGGTTCTGCCGCCCTCGTGGATGGGGCCCGGGCGTGGGGCTGTGGGGAGGCCGCAGGCGGGCT